TAAACATTGAATTTCCCATTTTAAAATGAGTAGAAAACACAATTTCGTTGCATTTTCCCTAACCTTGCTCCCCACAAGGTTTTATCATCCCGCCTGGACGACTGTTTTGACCTCGGTTGGATTTCATCAGCACCACACCAATGTTGGAAATTGCGTCATGCGTGTGGAATGACGACAATTTTCCACTTCCCCTTCTCCAAAGTCACGAGTGTTAATGAGTCAATGGGCGGATGTGAATTTAAGGGCAAGCCAGATCTCTAAAATCACACTTTATAGTAAGAATCCTATGGATAAGGCAAACTTGTGTTTGCCATAACAATTGACTAGTTTACTTTATCGTCAGTATTACGTTGTAGCTGTAGCTTGATTGTGGGGACAGGGAGATCTTATGTTAAGTACACAGTTCTACGTCCTTTGCCGAGATTGTCATAAGGATTTCCAGCCTCGGAGGACTATCTTGGTATACTACCATACCACCGTTACAAGTCTTTTTCTACGTTCCTTACATATTATATATGCATGAAGTTTGATACAGAAACCTCAGTTTAACAGCCACGAAGAAAACTCATGTTTTGCTGAATTTCCTGAGTTAAAGTGTATGTTGAAGATATTCGTAAGACGATCTCACCAAAAGACAACGGCTGAGTCACGTTTTACTGCCGCCTTTTGGCTTTAATAGGACCTTCAGGTTGACATCCTCTCACTTTTCGGGTTAATACGAGCTCTTTCAGCAGGCATGTTAGGCTCATCAACCAAAATAGATGTACTAAATTACGCAATCTCAGCCTTGCTTTCCCTTGGATCAGTGAACTTTGATTACTCCAGACTAACCGGATTGGATCGGTGGTTTTATGACCTGACTTTCACACTTACGGGCTCACATCTCATCAATTCAATCAGAGTTATTTATGACTCAGTTATGCTTTCTTCCTTGGATCATTAACACAGGATGACCCGATGCTGACATTGTGCTTTTTTCTAATAACTCTAAGTTATGGCTGGTTTTTCGTACAGACGTTAGCCCACATACACATACAGAGATACTCGTGTATAAGAGAATTAACCACACATTTTTATATCTAATTTTTGTCTTGTTACGAGTATATATATATATATATATATATTCATTTATTTATTTATTTATTTATATCAACTCTGGAAATCAAGTCTTCTTGAATTGATGTTAATTTGAGACTTTTGCAAGAATGAGCTCTAGCTCTGAAGATGTTCGTCATGTGGTATGATAAACGAAGGAGAATGTCTCATGGACTACGCCAACCTGGAAGTCGGCTGCAGAT